CGCACAGAGCCGTTTGCCCGCCCGCAACCCCACCCTTTGCCCGCGGCTGCCAGGCTCACAGTACCTTTGGTGTCCTCATCTTCTATGGTGGTGTGGGTGCTGTCGGGTGAGTCCTGGAGAGGCACAGCAGGCACCGGGTCAGGACCTGACTGCCCCGGCCCGCCCCATGGGGCCTGGTGATAAGGGGCTTGGGAAGTGCCCACACAGGACCCCGGCCCCAGAGACCCACAGGCAGCTAGAGCTCCATGTGGTCCTGGGGTTCAGCTGCCCACGTCCCGTGGCCAACAAAACATGCCCAGTGGGAAGACTGTGCTTGGGTGACTCTAACCCAAGCCAGAGGACACCAGGCTTTATTCCAAGGCTCCTAGGGAAGCAGGAAGGTACCCCAGATGGGCCGGAGGCCTCAGCAGCCCTCGGAACCTCAGCAGCCCAGGCAGAGTGCAGCTGCACCCACACCTCCTTCCCCAGTAGGGCCGCCTGCCCCTCCCCAGCCCCCAGTCCAGCCAGACCTGGTCCCACCTCTCCAGTGGCCTAGCGCCCAGACGCAACCCAGCACCTCCCACCCCGCTCACGGCTTGCTGCCCTTCAGATAAAAAAGCAGGTGCCATCCACCTGTCACCAAGCTCCCAGGAAGCCTGCCTGCTCCTCAGAAAGAGTATCTTAACAGGGTCCCTGAGGGACACCCTCTGGCCCCCCGACAGGACACAACATACTGCTCTGGGCCTTGGGCCAGTACAGAGGTCTGCATGTTATAGAATCAGGACTCATGCCACAGCCCCAAAAGGTTGTCTAGAGGTTGCTTGCAAGAAAAATGGGAGCCTTACCCCAGATCCAGGGACCAGGGCACACCCTCCCTGGTTGTGAGGTGGGAGGATGCCCAGGCCCTTCATAGCACTGTTTGTCTGGGGCAGCCGAGAGACAGTGGCCATGGCCCCCTGGCCCCAGCCCATGGCTGCAGGTGTGGGGGCCCTCTGAGGAGCCCACGGCTCAGGGGGAGTCTGACTGCAGGCCTGGGTTTCAGTAGGGCGTGCTGGTCCTAGAAGCAGTTGGGCCACCTGCCCATCCCACCCATCACCCCAGAGGGCCAGCCCTATCCCTGGCCCCAGAGAGATGCCAGTGGGATGGGAGCAGATGCAGAGCAGAGGAGGAGCAGAGGAGAGGTCAGCTCAGCAGGAAGCACTGGGCAGCAGAGGTGAGGATGGGCGAGGTCACAGGTCTGTGCTGCTTCCCCACCCCTGCCAAAGCCCTTCTCCCAGGGACCCTTGGAACAGGGTCCTGCACTCAGCTGCTCCTGGTGGTGCTGGGCCAGGCCTCTGTCAGAGCAGAGTGGACAGGGCCGACGGCAGCCAGGAGGGTCCTAAGAAGTGGCCCTTGCTCTGAAATCAGGGAGCCCTGGCCCCGGTGTCCCCAGTGGGCTGGGTGTAACGAGGCCTCCAAGGGGCCAACACCTGGGGCCTTCCTGGCAGGAGCAGCCCGTGGGCTGGTGGGGCTCCATCCTGCCTTGGGAGAGGTTGGGGGATGCCTGCCCCCACAGGGTCAATGCCCAGACCTTCTCCGGGGCCAGGGGTCTGCCTCCTGCCCCCGCAGAAGCTCCTCGGAGGGTGAGGGCGGTGCAGTACCTTGATCCCGTCCACAGGGTTATGAATGACGGTGGTTTGAGGCTCCTACAGAAGGAAGCACAGAGGAAGGGAGGGGGAAGGTGAGAAGAGGGCCAGGGGCGCCCAGCAGAGCCTGGGAGAGGCAGGCAGCAGGGTGGAGGGGAGATGCCTGGTGGGGGAGCAGCTGCGAGAAGGCCCTGGGACAGGCTGGCTGTATGCAACAGGCAAGATGCCCAGGCCATGAGGTGATGAAGAGCTCCGGGCCCAGGGCGCAGGCGAGAGGCTGCAGAGGGGCCCAGGCTGCAGCAGGGGTGGGCACAGGGAGCCCAGGCTGGAAGATGGCATGGGGATGCGATGGCACATGGGATGGATTGTCCAAGGTGGGGCTGGCTGTGCGGCCGCACATGGGACTCTCCACTCCTGGGTCCTGGCCACCCGCACCCGCCCTGGACGGCCATTTGGCAAACCCAGCCTTCCCGAGGACAGTCAGGTGGGCTCCCGGTAGCAGGGCCGGGGCCGGGAAGCCACTGAGAGCCTGTGGACCAGCAAACCCAACCTCCACACAGGCCACAACCCTGACCACCAGCTGTGGGGTTCCCCTGGATAAGACCCCTCCCAGGTGAGGTCCAGAGCCAAGGGTCCCTCTGACCTCATGTTTGCCTGCCCCGCCCCTCCCTCTGGGCAGCCACAGGCCAGCACAGTCACGTAGGTGTGTGTCCCAAGCCCACCTCGGGTGTGCAGGGTAGGACTCTGGGAAACCACCAAAGGGCCTTGGCCTCCCTCCAGACCACTGGGCTCAGAAGCTAAGACCAGCCCACCCTTCTTCCTGGAGACAGCAAAGCAACCTCACAGTGCATCTGAGCAGCACCTGAGGGGCTGGGGCAGGGGTCCCCGCTGTGGCTGTCTCCCTGCAGCCCGGCCTGGGCTCTGGGCCTGTTGAAGGCAGAGGAACAAGGGCAGCACCCTGGGTCTGTGTCTTGGCCTCACTGGTCCCCTGAAGGTCCCTCACCACTGACCCACCAGTCAGTGAGGCAGGAGGCCGACCTATCCCCTGCTGCTGAGCGGGACTTTCAGCACAGCCCTGGGAGCCTCAGCAGGGTGGGTCCTCATCCCACCCCCAAGGGGCAGCGGGGGCTGGAGGGACCAAGCATCATCCGTCAAAGACAGGCTGGGAGCTGGACCCCACCGTCACCCCAGGCCTCCTGACAGCTGGGGTGCGGGAGGGCTAGGAAGTCGGCAGCTGAGGGGCTCAGTACCAGGGCAGCCGGAGGAAGTGTCCCCTTGGGGCTGGTGGCAGCTGAACTGTTCTTGGTGCTATTCGTCTGGGGCTGCAGGGGGGAGACAGAGAGGAGCATTAGGGGGAGAATGGTGGCCACCCCCTTCCTGGGGTCTGCCCTGGCAGGGCCAGGGCTTGGGGCCTCACCTTCACTCCGTCTGCCTTCTTGTTGAGCATACTCTTGGCTGCTGTATCGGGAGGAAATAGGTGTCATGAGGGAGGGGCCACCCCACTGCAGCCCCTCCCCTGGTGCTCGGTCACCTTGGGGACCTGCAAGGCACCAAGCTCCCCAAGAGTAAGTAAGGGGGTGGCCAGGCCCTGAGGCAGGGGTGGCTATGCTGGAGGGGACCTGGGGGTGTTCCCTCATCCCCAGAACAGGCCCTTCTACTGGAGGACACCAAGATTTCTCCTCCCACTTGGGACCCTTGGCTTCTGGGCAGCAGGCAGTCTCTGTGAGGAGGAAGGCCAGGAGCCCCCCAGGTGAGAACACAGGATGGGCGCCAGGTTGGGTGGTGGGCATCCCTCATAACTGCATGTTCTCGGCAGGGGTGGGTGGGCTGCAGCTGGCTACTCACAGAGTGAGGCTTGTCCCAACCCCAAGTGCCTGCCTGCCCTCGGCCTCCTGGCCCCCTCCCTTGGAGGACAGAACTCAGAGCTCTGCCCCCACAGCCAGAGCCCCGAGAGGCAGCCTCTCCCTTTGGGGCTACTTCTTAGCCTTGCTCTGGCAGCTGGCTAGGGCCATGCTGGCCTCTGTGCCCACCTACCCGGGATCCTGGACTCTGAGTGGGGTCAGCAGGATGACAGGAGTGGGAGAGGGTCAAAGAGCCACCTGCATCCCAGGCTGCCACCACCCCTCCCACACCCAGGCCCGGTGGTCAGCTGCTTGCCCCCACGCCCACACAGAGGTCAGGGCGGCCTGGCCTGCCCCCGCCCCTGTACCCGCCTGCCTGCCTCACCCCCACGTTCCTCAGCCCCCAACACCTGCACCCTTCACAGAGGCTCATTTTAATTACAGAACTGCAAAGAAAAGTCAGCTTACCTTACAAAAAAGGTGGGGAGGGGAGGGGAGGGCAGGAGGAGGGGAGAGAGAAAACAAGGTTGTGTCAGTTCAGGCAGCGAACAAGCCTGTGTCCGGGACCCACAGCGCATCCTGCCCACCCTGCCCCTGCCAGACAAGCAGTGCCCAGCACGGCCGGCGGGTGCGGGTTAGAAAAGCAGCAGAGAGTCCCTCACCCTGGGCCCTGGGCCCGCTCCACAGGCTCTGGCTGGCCCACCCTGAGGAGGGGTCCTGAAGGGGGGGTCTGCCTGCTCACAGGGACAGGTGGCCACAGAGGGCCTGGGAGCCACACTTTTCTGCTGGGAGCATCCCTGGAGGAGGCTGCCTTGCCCGGCACAGCAGACAGACAGGCACTTAGACCCCGAGTGTGTGAGGTCCCCCTGCCAGCAGCATTAGCGTCACCTGGATGCCCCCAGATCCCTTGAGGCAGAAACTTGGGGCAGCTGGGCATCTGCTCAGGGAGCCCTCCGAGGAGGTCCTGATGCTGCTCCTGTGGGAAGCATGGTCAGCACCCCAGTGCAGTGACCAGGCCAGGGCCAGGGCCACCAGGCTGCCTACTGACCTCCGTCCTCTGGGTCCAGGACCTCATCACCGCCCTTGGGACTCCGCATGGGGACATGGGTGACTGTACTTGGTCAGAGGCCCCACGGGGCAGTACGAGCGGCCGCACTGAACGTGGCTTCCTGCCCCCCCCCAGGGACCTGTCCATTCTCTCAAAAGCTCCCCTCCCAGGATCCACAGGTCAGAGTTGAACCAGCAGCCTGACTCCGGTTTGCCTCACTCTGTGAGAAGCGTTGCAGGGTCCCAGTGAGTGAGGACCCCAGGCCGCCCTTTCCTCATCCCCCAGACCCCCCAAGGGCAAGGCCTGGGCAGCCGACTCAGGACCCTGACAGATTCCCTGGTGGCCCTGCCCTCAGGCACCTGAGAACCAGAAATTGCTGGGGCCACATGAAAATCTCTCCTGGTAGCAGCTAGAATTTGCCACCCTGTCACTCGACGGAGGAACAGGACAGCCCTGCAAACACCAACTTGGGTCTCCCCAGCCAGCAGTCTCGTCCTGGTGAGCACAGCCCCTCAATTGCCCGCTCTTGTCTCCAGCTCCAGGGACAGGGAGAGCCCCACCTCCTCTCAAGTGGAAGTTGTCTAAGGGCATGGAGCCCAAGGGCCCCTGTCCGGGCTGCTGACTAGCTGGCCGGATACAGCCTGCTGAGCCTGGAGGAGATGCATCCAGCCCATCTTGGTCTTAGGAGCTGAGCAAGCTGGCCCCCACCCTCCAATTTAAGACCGGTGGGTTCGCAGCCTTGGCCAGTGGCATTCCCAGCAGGCTCTGAGTTAGAAGCAGTGCAGGCCTGTGCTGGTTGGGCAGAGATAGGGTTTGTTCAGCCCAGTCTTCCCTTTGGGTAGGAAACGGGCCCCTGGGTCAGGCTTCAGGCAGAGGAGGGTGGAGACCCTGGGACAGTCCTGGCTTAGGGTTAGGTTTAGGGTTAGGGTTAGGGTTAGGGTTAGGGTTAGCTTAAGAGGGTCCCACTCAGTCCCTGATTCTATCAAACCTGTGTTCCAGACCGTGCTACTCAAGACCCGATACCCCTTTGGAGACACAGGTGGCCAGTGCCCTGGCCTGGGCTCCAAGCAAGCACCTTTCCTTTTACTCAATTCCCCTTCAGCCAGCCCAGTGCATGTCTGAGCATAGCTCCTGGCCGCTGTGTTTCCTGGAAATTCTCGTCTGTCCTGAGTCCCGTCAACACCAGCAGTCAAACCACCTGGCAGCAGCCAACGGAGACTGAGCAGGCACACACATCCCAGGCCCCTGGAGACAAGCACAGACCCTCTGTCCCACCCATTCCACCTGAGGTCCCAGGCCAGGCCATCGCTGCCACCACAGCAAGTCTCGGTCTCTCCCGGTGAAGGCCATGTGGGACCTGACCAGGGCTTCAAAAAACGGCAACATCTCTACAAAGACACCCAGTGTTCTGCTGTCCAAGGGTGCCACGTCACCCACAGAGAAGCAAGGGCCTCGGAACTGAGACCCCGCCCCCCCACTGTGTCTGCTGGGTTCAGTGCGGCATCGAGGTGGGCCAACCTATCAGGGGAAGCCCCTCAGCCCACAGGGCCAGCCTCTGCCTTGTCCTGTAGCTGGTCACCTGGGGACAGCCATGCTGGGCTCTGTCCACATGCACTGACCACCCCCCAGGACAGGCTGCCTCGGCGCCCGGGATGGAGCTGCACATGCACGCGGCCTCATGCAGGCAGGCGGCATTGCGGGCAGGGAGCAGCTCAGGCACCCGCCTCACTCCCTGTGCCGGGAGGCAGGGCCTCGCTGGGAGCCTCTGGCCTCATGTTTCTCCTGCCCCCTACCCCCCATTCAGGTGCTTCAGAAAATGAAGCAACTCAGGACAGCCCTCTGGGACCGCCTGCTGACATGTCCACAGGACTTGAGCACAGACCCTCCTCCCCGAGGCTGGTCCTGCACTAATGCCCCAGAAGGAGGTGGCTGGATTGCTGGGCCCTCTTTTGGGCAGGTGGGGCTGCCCAGTCTCTGGGGTCAGGGATGGAGTGGGGTGAGTGTGCAGGAAAGGAAGGGCCCGGGCCCGGGAGAAGACTGGGGTTTTGCCTGGGCTGCAGCCCTGGGAGCACCAGGGTGAGCCCTCAGCTGCAGCCCCACCCTAAGCCCACCCTAAGCTTGCACCTCCCTCAGCAAGTGCTGGGGCTGTGGGCCCTCGAGGAGGACTTGAGGTCTGGCAGCCCTCACAGGGTCAGGCCAAGGTCCCAGGTGGGCAGGAGCTGACCTAGGTCTGCTGGGAGCTGGCTGGCAGAACCAGTGTCCCCCCTCACGGGTTTGGGACGAGGGGAGAGGGTCCTTGTAGAAAGAATCAAGAGGAGCCTGGCCGGTGTGGCTCAGTGGTTGAGCGTGGACCCAGAAACCAAGGAATCACAGGTTTGATTCCTGGTCAGGGCACGTGCCCAGGTTTCGGGCTTGATCCCCAGTAGGGGGCGCGCAGGAGGCAGCCGGTCAACGTTTCTCTCATGAGTGTTTCTATCTCTCTCCCCCTCTCCCTTCCTCTCTCCCTGAAAATCAATAAAAACATATTTTAAAGAACAGAACAGAAACAAGAGGAGGGCTTCAAAGTCATTCTCAGGGTGGCCGAAGACCCCTCGCCTGGGACTTACAGGGCTGACATACACGTGCCTGTGTCGAGCTCGTCTAAGACTCAGCACAGACCACCGGCCGCGTGTGAGCAGCGGGGGCCACTC